AAATTCGTGAAGTTCCCTTCACAGAGAGCCTCCATAGAAGAGATGAGGACCTGAGATTCACTGAGGGGTTCCCGTGTCCCAGGACAGAGCCCTACGCAGACACCACCTCACCGAGTTCTCATTATATGGGCCCTACTCTCTAGAGAAACAAGGGAGCCGAGAGTAGTTAGGGTTTCTCTGAGGGCCCAGAGCTAGAATGGTGAGGAGAAACTGTTTGACCCCAAATCGATGGGGTGTGTGTCTGTGTTTCTGGAACTGATTTGAGGCAAACAGTATATTCTACCTCAAATATTGAGCGTATATTTTCATATCCTAGAACACGCAGTAAACATCCGCAGAATGGATGGATAATGTTAATATTCATTCCAGGTCCTCCATTTCAATTGAACAGGAAATTCTAAAATAACCCTTTGTTTCCTCATTAGGCTATCCTGGGGTTTGCTCTATGCTGGTTTTATCTGCATAATGGCCCTTCTCTTGGCATTTATGGTTAAGTTTTCCCAGTTTGTCATCCTGTCTGGCTTTGTGGTGGTGTTCACCCTCTTCCTCTTCTATGGATTGTCTTTGGTAAGTTGGTGACTTAAATCTCTCCCCATCCAGCTCTCAGCCCTAAGGCACAAATGTTGGTATCTAAGCAAGTTATTACTCTATAGACTTCTTTTGTTTGTTTGCTCTGATTGTGTGAGAAACTATGTAGACAGGTACAGTTTGATTTGTTGTAGTGTTTTATAATGCCAATTTGTAGTCCAGTTTGCTGAACAAACTATAATTTTGTGTATTAAACCCTTTATTTTTTATGTTAGTAGTATTTCTCGAAGAAGCATAAACCAACTGGATCTTGTCTCATTTTAGATAGCTTTGGCTTTCCTAATGAGCGTCTTGATAAAGAAATCTTTCCTCACTGGCCTGGTCATGTTCCTTCTCACAGTCCTTTGGGGGAGTCTGGGATTCACAGCTCTGTACAGACATCTCCCTGCATCTGTGGAGTGGAGTTTAAGTATTTTCAGCCCCTTTGCCTTCATGCTTGGAGTGACCCAGGTAAGAATCAATGTGACCATCTCTTTGTGAAAATTCCAAAACCTTTTTCCTCTGGAATTCCATGGTCTACCATCAGTTCCATGATCCATGCTGTAAATTTAAAGCCCTAGAGAAGGTACTTGGGAGGTTGCCAAGGTGAGCTTTCAAAAGCTCATTTAGCCCAGTGAATTAAGTCATTCAATAAGTAAAAACTGGAGGGTCAATATATAATTATTTAGAGACAATCTACTGGTTTTCTTGGGCTACTATATATACAGTTGATGTTTCAAATCTAATTCTAACTATATTTTCCAGCTCATATTTTGACCTATTGATTGAACAGCACACATGATTGTAAAAGTCACAAAGTAGTTAAATTAAAAATAAAACACCTTGATAACACATTTATTGATTAGTAAATTCTATTTTTAGTCCTCAACTCTTTTTTTGCTTTTTCTATTTGATTCTTATGTTAATCTGCCTTGTCTTCTCTACAATTAAATAGAAACACCAATCAGTTAATATCCATTATCAAGTACTTATCAAAAAGAGTTTAAAAAGCAAAACAAAACAAAACACTGCCATCAAGTCGATTCTGACTCATAGCTACCCTATAGGACAGAGTGGAACTGCCCCGTAGCATTTCCAAGGCTGTAAATCTTTATGGAAGCAGACTGCCCCATCTTTCTCTCACAGAGTGGCTGGTGGTTTCTTTGGCTAGTAGCCACGTGCTTTAACCACTGCCCCACCAGAGCTGCTTTTTGTTAAGATAAGGTACCCATTAACTCGGATGCTTTTTCCACTGCTTCCCTCTGAAACACACCATTGCATTTTTCTGAAAGTGAATCCTCCAGCATGCAGCTTTCCTCAAGGAACACCAAACCTTCTCCCTATGTTCCATTTGGTAAAAATTTACCTAAAGTCAAGCGTAAATTGGATCTCTTCCCATACTTCCCTACAGCCCCCTAATGCTCTCCCTTCATTTGGAGCATCATTAAAAAGTCGGTTGCTGCTGTCAAGTCGATGATGATTTATGGTGATCCCATGTGTGTGAGAGTAGAAATGTGCCCCACAGGGTTTCCAATGGCTAATTTTTCGAAGTTGATCACCAAGGCCCTTTTTGAGGCATCCCTAGGTGGCCTCAAAGTACCAACTTTTCAGTTAGCAGCCAAGATCTGTTACCTTTACACTACCCAGGGCTTCACCATGGCAATTACTAAATCCTGTTAGAGTTGTTCATGGGCCCATACCTTCCAATAGCTTGAGAACGTCAAAGTAGGTAGTCTCCTTAATTATCATTGTGTTCCTAGACAAAAAAATATCCATTTCATTCCTATGACAAAGCAAATTTCATAAAATAACTCATACAGCTCATTCCATTTAATTAACTGCTTTTATATTTTCAGCTTCTACGTTTGGACTATGATTTGAATTCTAATGCACTGCCTGATTCAGCAGGCAGCTCAAGTCTAATTATAGCAGCACATTTCATGTTGCTGTTTGATATCTTCCTCTACCTGGCACTGATGATTTACTTTGAAAAAGTTTTGCCAAGTAAGTAGTGATGTGATTATAATCGAACATCATTTTAATCACGTTATTTCTTTAAACATATCGCTTAGCACTTTCATCCTTTATACTTTAAGAACCACTTTCTACAACAACAGGAAAGAGATGACCACGGCCGTCCCCATCAGCAGACCTACTTCCTCATGTCCCTCTAGTGACTGGCTGAGTCAGAACTAAGCCTGGACTTGGTTTATGGAATCACTGACTTATACTTGAACTTCCCTCAACTCTTAAGTGGATGACTTGTTTATCTCCAACAAGATGCTTAGAAATCTAGTTCCTGAAGGGGGTCTTGCCTGGTCCTTAATCATAGAAATTTATATCTGCTGTTGCATTATTATTTAGCTCCATGTTTCTGGACTGCAGCTGGATATCAGAACAAAACCTGAATGAGATGCCATGCCCAGCCCAAGCCCAGGAAAGATTCTGATTCATTTAGTCAGTGGTGGGATTAAAAAAGTCTTTCCAGAGTTTTCACAATAGGAAAGTCATTGGGTCATAAATGTTCAATTTTATCGTCTTGCAACTTATAAGCTGTAAGTTCCAGAAAAACTGGTATTTTCCTTCTCTTTGTAGATGTAACCCAGGCACCCACTACAGTGTCT